TGGCGAGCGAATACGTGGAGCGGGTACTCGGCCCGGGTATCTAGCAGATCAGAGTGCCCGCATTACACTGCAGCGATGCCTATCTTCCACAGCTACCCATCCCCTTGTGGCTTGATAGGCATGGTGCAATCGATTGAGGATGGGAAGCCAATCAGCTTACAGATCGACCAGCCTATGGGTGTTATGGTTTCTAACGGCACAGTCGTACGGTACGAGACTGCACTCGCTCGCCTCACCTTCACCGATCTACGTATACGTTAATAAAGTGCTGTTGGTCTTGTGGCTGTAATTTTCCAGCTTGGCACGCTTGAATCGATGAGCGACCAGACGTAGAATCATACGACTCTTGCGTCTTGTCTCATCATTAGTAATGTTGGTAGCAGTATACCAAGCATGCAATACCAACCGCGAAGGGAGCTGCCAACGCAGATACAACTTCGGTAACAGCTGCCTTCTATTAAACCAAGTCAGCAAGTGCGTCCAAAGTTATCTAGGAAACGCCGAGCTGCCGACGAGTGACAAGTGATGCTGACCCTCCAAGACAGGCTCACTTGCTGTACCCTGCTGCATGCGCTTCATGGAAACCCCCACCTCAACGGATTCCTACTCCGCGGCCGACGTCGCGCTGCACAATTTCGCTGTAGTGCTGCGGAAGACTCCAAATGGCCAGTCGCAGTGTGAGCATGGCTTCGGCGAGAGCGGGGGCGGGTATTTTGAAACGAATGCCTCCAGCAAACGCACGAAGCCATTCCCCCGTGCTATCGGTGCTAGTAACTATGTACGCCACCCACATATTGCTCTTCCTTTTCACCGCATCGAACTACCTGGTGCTTGCTATGTACCCTATGCATTTCATTGGAACACTTCTTGTTTTCGCCACGAACGCAGGAGGCCGCATACAGGGCCGCGATGCAAAGTCCAGGGATTTCTGCGTCATACAGGTGTGACACCCGATCGTTGCGCAGACATGCGGTCAGCGGTTGGCGCACGCATTGGACATTGAAAAGGCAGCCTTCCGTGAATTGCAACCGCTTCTGACGCATTCCTCCTCTGTGTTCATACCACCCAACTTTCCTCCATCTCATAATGTCGTTCGCCTGTGGGACTTGCTGGCAGACTTGGCCAGCGTGGAGATCCCGAGATCAGCATGTCGCTGCCAAGTTCCACAAGGTGCCCGATTTCGAATGCGATACATGCCACCGCTATTTCGACAGACAAACAGCCGTGGAACAGCACATGAACACCCTTGGTCACTGGGCGGAGTCTTCATCAACTAGCTCGGATGGATCAGAGTATGACTGCTACTATAATGGGTGCACCGAATGCTTTAATAGCGAACAAGAACTTGAGGATCACGAAGTGCATGAACACTACTACTGCAGTTCGTGCGACCGAGAATTTCACGACGCAAATAACATTGAAATGGTTCGTTCTTGAGTACTTGATTGATAACAGGGGCTGATATTAGCAGCACCGCAAGAGCAAGCAGCATCTTGGCAAGAATCAACATTGTTATTTCTGTGGGAAACCGTACGTGACAGCGGCGGGCATTTTCTATCATCTAGAGCGGGGGAAATGTCCCAAAGCCCCACTAGATCGGATGAAGGTCTACGAGGCCATCAAGCGGAGAGACCCGAATGGGCTGATCACTGAGAGACTGCGTCAGTGGTCTGCTAGCAGTCTGGAAGCTACAGCAGCGTCCTGGAACCCTAGCAGTGAGACTTTCAACTGTCCTCTCTGCGACAGGTCCTTCAAACGCCTCGACTCCCTAAACCAGCACCTTCAGTCGCCTAAGCATCAGAAGAAATTCTACCATTGCCCACATCAACGTTGCCAGCACGAGTTTAGCGAGTTTGCCGCTCTTACGGAACATTTGCAAAGCGAAAGCTGCAACTACATCACCTTCGAGGCTGTGCAGGAAACGGCGAAGCGTATCTTCGACCCTGGCCGCATGATTGCGTTTTAGTGGCGGAAATAGAATA